AGCTGATCCTGTCTCGAGGCAAAGGAGTCCTCTGTTCCTCCATTAGCGTCACGCAACGTCCTGGTATGCCCAGGGCCATCCTGGCTTTAGCACCAAAAGTCCCATGTCCCAGGAAACCCCTCAGCCCTGGGCAGACTCACCAAGTCAGCTGGTCACCCTGCTGTCCTGTCAGCCCCTGAATGCCAGCTACCCACCCCCAGCCCCACCGCCAGGGGAAGCAGCTCCTGGCGGCTGAGCAATTCTGTGAAGAAGGGGGGAGCTGTGGGTGTCTGCAGCCAAGACTCAGGAGCTGGGGATGGGGGCCCTGGCCCAGGAAAGGGGATCTGGGAGGGCACCATCAGTGCCTTCTGCACTGCCCGCCAACATACCCACTCAACTCTAGGCTGCACATAGCAGCCAACACAGTCCTCCCAGAATACAAGTGTGATGATGCACTTCCCCTCTGGGCAACCTCCCCAGAGCTCCCCAGCGAGACCCGGTGTGAGATGCAAGGCCTTCCAGCAGCCAGCACTCCCCCAGTGCCTCCTGGGGGTACCCTGTTTGTGGTTCTGTGCACGTGCCGTGGCCTGGGCTGCCTCTTGGACTCTGAGTTCCACCATCTCTTCTGTTGGGCAACACTCAGACCTCAGTGTGTCATAGTGACTAGCAGTGCAGACTGTGGGGGCCGACAGCCAGGGTCCAGACTGGGTTACAGCTCACGAGTTGTGTGACCTGGTTGTGTTCCTTAACCTGGCTTAACCTCAATGTCCTCATCTGTAAAACAGATAACATAAGGACTAGTGGGAGGATTAAATGAGTTAATACACCGAAATGCTCAGAAAAGTAACAGGCATGCAGTGTGTGCTTAATAAATGTTAGCTATTATTTTCACTGTTAATGTATTTCAAGACTCAGGTCATGCATCACCTCCTCCAGGAAGCCTTCTCTGATTTCTCCTTCCCCAGGTGGGGTTATCTGATGCTCCTTTAAGCACTTTAATAGGATTATCCACTTAGGAGTCTGCCTCTCCAGCTAGACCATGAGCTGCTCCAGGGAGAGGACTGTGGCTTTTGTTTCTGCCTTCACAGTGCCTAACACAAGGCTTGGCACAGATAACCCTCGGTGAATCTTCCTTAATTGAAAGAATGATCAAACACTCTTCCTATTTGGTGCTCTCTGCATATCTGCGGGAGATTGCAAGGTAGGAGAAAGTAGGTAGGGGCCCCGCATAAGCACAGGCCCCGAGGTGACACCTGACTACAGACTGGGCAGAGAAGTGCCCTTCGCCTGCAGGGTGTCAGTGAGGAGTGGTAGGACCAGAGCCCCAGGCCCCAGTGCCCCCATCAGTCAGAGAAGCTCTGCTTTTGTTTGTTTCCTGTCTTATAATTCTAAATAAGAATCTAATAGAGGAGTCCGACACGTGTTTTTTTTTTTTTAATTTGAAAGCCATGGAGACAGTGAGGGAAGCAGACCCCAGTCACTGAAAGGCCTTGTGTTCCACTGGAAATGACTTGAACTTGGTATTTAAGACCAACCTTTCTCTGAGTCTGTTCTGCTGAATAGAAGTCCTATGACACCCTTGTCAAAAGGACAAACACTGTGGGTGTGTTATAGCGCCCCCTTGGGGATGGAGAATGTACATGAGCCCACTGAAGGCTCTGAGAAGTCCTGCAGCAAAGGCACTACCTCTACATTATCTACTTCCACGGCTCCCAGACACAACAGATCACAGGAGTCACCCTGTGTGGCAACCCTTGCTCATCCTGGCAGGGTCCTGCCCTCCCTGATGGCAGGGAGGCTGGTTCCTCCGTGCGGCAGCCGTGCTCCCTGTGGGTGCTGGGTGGGCATGTGGGGGTGACAGCTGGAGGAACAGAGGCCCTTTCTCTCCTCAGAAAGGCTACCACGAGATCCGGGAGCTCCGCCTCTTCCACTTCACCAGCTGGCCCGACCATGGCGTCCCCTGCTATGCCACCGGCCTCCTGGGCTTTGTGCGCCAGGTCAAGTTCCTGAACCCCCCCGAGGCCGGGCCCATTGTGGTCCACTGCAGGTAAGCAACAGCCTCCAGCTCCAAACAAGGCTGCTTCTGCAGGGCTGCTCTCAGGGAGGGAGACGAAGTCCTTCCAGCGGCCTTTCTTCTTTGCCTTCAAGACTGCCCTGCCTGTCCCCAAGTTCAGCCCAGGTCCCAAGGTCTGCTTGGGACAACAACAACAGTAAAGTAATAGTAGCAGTACCAGTGGGTATCATTACTGTTGCCCTGAAATAGTAAAGCCCTCTGGGGACGTGGGCTCACACTGACAGCGTCTGTTACGTGTGCACTTGGCACACTCCTCATGCAGCCTGGAGGGGTGGGCATTAAGCATCCTTCCCATTCTACAGATGAGAACATTGAGGTGCTGGGAAGGTGGGCCCTTTGCTCGGGGCACGCAGGTGTAAGCCAGCAGCGCTGGGAGTTGACAGGCTTTTCTCCAGTCACTCGCCCTCGGCTGCTTGCCACGGCAGCGGGGCACCTCCGTGGAAGCATGCTGCTCTTCAGTTCTGTTATTTTAAAAACTCAGTTGCTGGCCTGCAGGCTCCTTAACCGAGAGTAAATGGACAGCGCAAGGCTTCACCTTATTATGGAGAAGAGGTATTTTCAGCTCTGACCTAGAAAGTCACATGGGGAATGACTGGCACGTTTTCCAATCCTCCTAAATGGAGATGAAGTGTCGTGTCAAGGGCATTAAGAATTGGACCAGACCTGAAGGCCAGCTGGCCCGCACACTCCTGCCTCCCTCTTCCAGTGTGACCTTAGGCCCAGCCCAGCTTTTCAGACCCTGTGTGTTCTTGACTTACGCCTGCCCTGGCAATGTCCACGTCAGTCAAGGTCTTGAGTGAAGCCAAGGAGGGACTCCACAAACTGCAGGCCTCTCAGGGCCAGCCCCTTGTCACTCAGCATCCATTTACCCTCCCCACGGGAGCAGGTGGGAATTAGAGACCCCATTTCACAGATGAGGTCACTGAGGGTTGGGAGGTAATAGTGGCCGTCAGCCCTGGACTCTCTAAGCGTTTTGCATATATCCTCTGCTTTACGGCTCATGACAGTTCAAGGACAGTAGAACGTTAGCCCCCAAGTCCTGTGTCCCAGAGAGCAGCCAGAGCAGGAGTAAGGGAGGAAGGGAGACGATTTATTAGGCTCTCCTTGCACGACGGCTCTATGTCTTTCCTCCAGAGCCAGTCCGCCTAACACGCCTGGCACAGTGGTCCCCACTCCTGGGACCATGCTGAAGATGAAATGTGCTGGCTGCCATATCCTCGGTGCCTCGGAGAAGTCCTGACATCTAAGAAGCACTTAAAAACACTACCGTTCTCTGCCTCTGATACTGGTCCGCTCCCCAGACTGTTAATTCTTCAGAGCAGAAACCATGTCTGCTTATCTTCATATCCCACCCCCGATCCCACCATCTAGTGCATACTGGGTGCTCAATAAGTACTTGTTGAATATAAGTAGCTACCATTTACTGAGAAATTGCAACGTAGCTAGGCATAGGGCTAGGTAATTTACATGCACTGGGCTCTTTCGGCATCATTTCGTGCAATGTACATGTATTGTGCAATCAATGCTACAGGGTCGGTCTATTTATTATTATCAGCCTCATTTCATGGTTGCGGTTACTGAAACCCAGAAAGGTTAAGTCATGTACCCAAGGTCACACAGCTAGTAAGTGGTTAAGCCGGGCTTGGGTTCCAGGGGTCTGACCCCAAATATGATAAGCTCAGTTGTTATGTGAGGCTGAAATACAGCTCAAGTCCTCAAGAGAACCCGGCAGGGAGGCAGGTTATATGTGTGAGGCTTATGGGCACCAGGCAGGTTGTTCACCCATGGTGGATCCAAGATTCAAAACCAGGTCAGGATGCTTGTTTCCCCTAACACAGATGGAGGAGGACACTTCAGGAAGATGCCGATGAGTGGCTGTTTGTGCTCCCTCCCAGACCCCGGGGCCCAGGCTGCTGAGACCCTTCTGGGGGTGGGGGGGTTGAATTCAGGGCGGAAAGGTACAAATACAAGTCAAACTTCACTCACTTAAAACCATGAAATTTTACTAAGAACCAAGACTGCTTCCCATGGGTTTGTTTTCCAGATCATTGTGGGTGACAATCCTGCCTGGATTTATGGTCAGCCAGTCCTGCTTTCTTCCTGCCCCATCACTTATTTCCCTAGGGGAAGCAAGATGTGAAAACACAGTCAGCATGGGCCTCCTTGCTAGTCTGGCCTTCACTTTCTAAACTACGTGCACTTAAGGCCAGTGTTCTATTTGTCTCTGGTTCAGAGCCATGCCTGGAAACCAGTGCTGATGGGGGAAGGACAGGCCGTGGTCCATGGGTCATGCTGAGTTCTTTTGCTATTTTGTACTTGGTTTGAGATTTTTCTAAAGGAAGCCACCAGTGATCAGAATTGACTATGTATCAGAATCACAGTACGTCTCCCAGACCAGGGTCTTGGGACTGTCACCTATTCCAGTTGAAGAATGCTCCTGGCTCACGTTCCTGGGAAAACAGATGCCCGTGGAGCCAAACCTGGGGCTTGCGTCATGGGACCTGGGACTCACTCTCTGTCTGCGGGCCTGCTCAGAGGATCTGCCTTCCCACATCTGCCCACATCTCTCCTTCCTTGTTTCCATCCGTCAGCCTATTTGCTGACAAAGGGAAATAGACAGAAGGGGGAGTGGGGAAGACATGTCTATTAGGCATCTCCAGCATGCCGGGCACCATGCCTTATACGATACAGACGGATTAGCTTCACCCACTAGAGGAGGAAACAGTGTGCAAACGTGTTGTCGAAGCATGTGTTTTGTGCTACGACTGTTATTAGGAGTGGATGTCTAAGAGCACAGACCCGAGAGCCAGATGGCTGGGCTGAAAAGTCCCACCTCCATGGCATGCCGGCTCTGTGACCTTGAGCGAGGTCAGCTCTCTGCATCTCGCTTTTCTCGCCTGTAAAATGGGGTGAGAAACTTCCCAATGACCTCACAAGGGAGCCAATAGGTAATGTTTGTAAAAGCACTTAGAACAATGTCTGGTACTTTGTAAGCATTAAGTGAGTCCTTGCTAAATGAGGACAACAAAAGTAAGCAGGTTCTGCTAAAATAGCCCCCAATGCAAGCATTGCTCTCCCATTTTACAGAAGAGAAAGCTGAGGCTACAATTTCACTTGCTTGCTCAGAGTCTCCCAGCAGCACTAGGATTCAGACTGTTGTGTCTGACCTCTGCAGCCTGCTGCCTCTTTGCAGGGTCCTTGGACAGGGCTGAGTGGTTGGGGGGGGCAGGGAGCCTCGCCTGGGCTAGTCCCGCCCTGAGGTCCCTAATACAGACACTGTCCTCTCTTCCAGTGCGGGAGCCGGAAGGACCGGCTGCTTCATCGCCATCGACACCATGCTCGACATGGCCGAGAACGAAGGGGTAGTGGACATATTCAACTGTGTGCGTGAGCTCCGGGCCCAGAGGGTCAACCTGGTGCAGACAGAGGTGAGTCCTGGGGGACTGAGCTGGGCAGCCAGCTGCAGCCCTGGCCAAGGAGAAGCAGGGTAGAACAGACACCCATGGGTGGGGGCATCCTATAGAAAGAGACCTGGAGTGGGAGGAAGGGAGGGAGGGAATACATGGCTTGCTACAGTGGTCCCACAGTAGAAGCTAAGACACTGCTGCCAACCCTGAGGTCCCACAGGGCAAGCACTTGCACCAGTGGGGAGTGGTGGTGAGCTTCCCGGCTCTGAGGGCATCCAAGCAGGGACCGAATGGCAACTTTCAAGGATTCTTTGAATAGTATTCCTGCCTTGGTGGAAGGGGAAGACTGTGTGCCAAGCATTGCTTCAGTCCCTGCCAGAATGACTTCATCAACAAAATTATTGAGTACTTGGGCTGGGTTCTAGGGATTCCAAAAGAGGTAACACATAGCCCCCGCCCTTGAGGGAAAAGCAGACCTTCAGGCATCCCTCTGTCCAGGTAGAGAGCCCAAGACCCAAGGGAAATAGGAGAAGTTCATCTTTATTGTTGAGCACCTACTATGTGCCAGGCATCATGCTAGGTCCTTTATATTCAGGATATTATTTGTACTCCTCGCAACAAGCCTATGGGGTGGCTCCTACTAGTATCCCCATTTTAGAGATGAAGGGTCCCCACGTCCTCACAGAGGTGGACAGTGGTGGAACTTGGGTCCATGTGACCCCAAGGCCCATGCACTTTTCCCTGAACCATACTCTCTTGTTAGGCAGCCTTTTCTGCCTACCCTACTCCTCAAAGCCATGGCTTGTTCTTATAACAAGCCCATCATCTGGTTCTAGGGAAGCCTGTGGGTGCCCAGGCAGTCAGCTAGGGCAGATAAGGAGCTACATCCATCATCAATCCTGCAAAGGCAAGTTTTGGCTTTGGGCCTGGCCAGTCACTGCTGGCTCCACAGAGAATCCCCCCACTTACAAGCGTATGCACATAGGAGCCCGCTGTGGGCTCTGAGCTAACTCCCGCAGGCAAACGTCTAGACTTGGTGAGGCTGCAGGAAAGACGAGTGGCTGCTTTCTCTGTTCCCAGATTTGTGCTTGCAGAAGACAGGCTCACTGGCTGGCACTAGACACAGGGTCCCTGCTGTCTGGTGCAGAGACAGACATTCAGATAGATCATCATGATGCATCTGGATAAGTGTTTGATGTAGAGATGGGCCAAGCTCTGCAAGAGAACAGTCACTCAACAAACGTTTGTTAAGAGCCTGGGAGCAATAGCAACAGCTTCCGCCTGGTGCATTTGCAGAAGACTTTCCAGAGGGAATGAAGCAGTGGGGGCCATAGCAAAGGGGGCATGGGGTTCCAGGGGAAGAGAACAGCAGGTGCAAAGGACACAGGTGGCAGAGGGGCCCAGAGTTCAGGAGCAAACCCTGAGACAAGGAGAGCTGAGGGCATGTGGTTTATTGGTGAGGTGATCCCAAGGCTCACCGGTTGGAAAGCAAAGAGAAGGAAAGGAAGCCAGGCTGTGTGACACTGCCAAGGGGTTTTGCAAGCTGTTTCACCCTGTGGACACCTGGAGCCCAAGCCTGCTGGGAGCTCTAAAGTAGTATGGAACATGCCCTCCCAAATATCCTACCTGGGAGAGAAGGAGTTTAGGTATTTCTGCCCCAGCTCTCCAGCTGACACTGCTTGAGGGCTCCTTCCTGGAGTGCTGACTCTTCAGCCCTGCTGTCTCGCCCTGCACCCAGCTCCAGTGTGCTCCTGGGACTAGAAGAAATCCCTCAACCTGAATCTCAGGTGCTTGCAGTAAGCAGCCTTCAAGGTAGAGGTGAAAGCTGACAGAGGCAGGCACCAAGAGCCCGTGCTGCAGCAGTTCCAGAAGTTTCTAACTGTCATCAGTGACTACACTGTTGAGTCTTACAGTGTAGTCTCACCCTTGCTCAGGCGATCACGAAGAAACAGGGAAACTTGGCCCTTCAGGGTTTTGGAGAGGAAGCTATGATTCTGCGATCTAAATCCTGCGCATCCTTCACCACCATGGGATTACGTTTAGGCGACACACACCCAGGCCACTCTTCTTCTCACCCAGAACCCTATCTCTTCTCTCTGTTGCTTGGCAGGAGCAATATGTGTTCGTGCACGACGCCATCCTGGAAGCATGCCTCTGCGGCAACACAGCCATCCCCGTGTGTGAGTTCCGCTCTCTCTACTACAACATCAGCAGGCTGGACCCCCAGACCAACTCCAGCCAGATCAAAGACGAATTTCAGGTATGGGCAAGTCCCGGGCTCGGTGACCCAGCCAACTTCAGCGGCACGGAGCACATTCAGGGGGTTTTCTTTGTGAGACTGGGTAAGCCTAGTGCTTCCAGTGTCGGCAGCGTTGGACAGCTGCAGAATGAATTCCAGAACCTTCGATGCACAGCCACAAGCAACTATTAACCAGTCACTCGGTGACTGCTGACACATGTTTTTAATTGTGATCATGTGTTTAACTTAGTTCTAGTCTAGTCCTAGTTGTGGGTGGACCAAGTTTCTAAACACAGGTGTGAGTTTCGTGCTCCGCCATCCCTAAAGGGACTCGGATTTTCTTGCCATTTCTGTACAATTGGAGTGTATTGGTCCTAGATCCTCACTACTCAAAGTGGGGTCTGGAGACCAGCACCATCACCTTCACCTGGGAGTTCATCAGGAATGTAGAATCCTGGGTCCCACCCATATCTAGAATGTGCAGTCTAACAAGATCTCCAGATGATTTGTCTGCACATTAAACTTTGAGAAGCACCATCCCAGAGCTCAGCTCAGCTCAGGCATGGCAGATCTGCACCTTGCAGCCCATGTGGCCAAAATGGTGGCACCTTTGGTCTGGAGGTCTGGACATGTATCACTGAGTAAGCCAAGAGTCCAACCTGTTGTCCTGAGGTCCGTGCCAGGGTCATCCCTGGGCAACAGGAGTTGAGAACCAGGCAGCAGGAAGCAAGGAAGTTTCAGGAATTGAGGGGCAAGTGCTCGGCCCATGATTCCACGGGCAGATACCCCAGCCAGGCCAGTTCCCCCATGCTCCCTTAAACGGAAGCTTTATTGATTGGGACAGGAGACCAAGTGCAGAATGGAGGAAAGATGGAGGCCACAGGCCCCTCCTGGGTGCACAGAGCATCTGGTCTTCTGGCTGGACAGTTCAGCTCTGGCCCCACACTTGCAAGACTCAATCTGCAGAACACAGCCCTGAAATTTTCCAGATGCCTAGATCTTGCCCCCCTGGGGATCTCTCACCCATCCTGAGCAGCTCGTTCCAAAAACCACTTTCTCTGAGAGGAGCATTGGGGAAATCCTTTCCCTCCTTCCACAACACTTGAAGGGATACGTAACACTCATTAGAGATTCCCCAGCCCCACCCCCACCCCCACCCTCTCACCTCCTGGCTGGCCCACCCTTTACAGAGATGAGCAGGTTGACAGGTGTTGGCAGCCTGTTTCTGCTCTGCACGTGGGCGTGCCGCCCTGCGGCCTTGGCATCATGGGGGTGTCACACAGCCCTGACAGGGGCTCTCAGCTCCCAGGGCATGGAGCAGCCAACAGGAGATGGCGGCATATCACACAGGAGAAGAACAAGTCCTGGGGGTGGGGGGGCGGGGCCTGGAGGGCCAAGCTTGGAGGACGGAGATAGGATGGGGTAGGCTGAGTTTGAACCTCGCTGTCTGCTCTGTTTGAGGCAACCGCCTAAGCAGTGCCTACCTATCTGTCTTTGCGCCCTACAGACCCTCAACATCGTGACTCCCCGAGTCCGGCCCGAGGACTGCAGCATTGGGCTTCTGCCCCGGAATCACGATAAGAACCGGAGCATGGATGTCCTGCCTCTAGACCGCTGCCTGCCCTTCCTTATCTCGGTGGATGGGGAACCCAGCAACTACGTCAATGCCGCTCTGATGGACGTAAGCTGAGCCCTGGCTGGCACTCACTGGGAAGTCTCTTCGAGGTGGAGATGGCTGGAGCCCAGGGCACTGACACCCCACACCACCACCCCCAGACAGCCTCTCCTTGCTTCTCATCTTCTGGCCCCAAGGACCGTTGCTCCCCCTGAAGGCTCTGGTCCAAACCTATGTACAAGCTGTGTTCTTGGCTCTTTGCTCCCATAAGCTTGGAAAGAATGGACCAAAAGCATAAAGTATGTGTCCATGACAGCATGGCACAGGCCTGCCCAGTACCCCCTCCCACTGCCTATAGAGCTGACTCTCAGCCTTCTGTTCAGTTCAGGAAACATTCTATATGCCAGGCCTTGGCCTGAGCCCTGGGAATGCAAGATGGTACAGACATGGGTTCTGCCCTCGGGGAGCTCCCAGGCAGGTTCCCAGATAACCCCTGTGCAGAGGCAAGAATGAGACTGGCAGGTAGTAAGTGATCAGTAAGTGGCTACTGGACAAGTGATGGGATGTGGCAAAGGGGGCATAGAAGGGGACAGGCCATGTTCCTGACTATTCCATCAGGGGTACTGTCTCCTGCTTTCTCAGCATCAAGTCCAAGAAGGGCACTCCCACCCTGACCTGGTTTAGGAGTCATGACCCCAATGAGGAGGTCATGTCCTTGCCCCAGTGAGTCCTTGCTCCTGACTCATAGGCTTCCCCACTGGGTCCTTCACCTCCTTCCTGTGGTCATCCCTCCACCTCCTGAATATAGAGATGTTTGCAGCAGAAAGGAGCCATGGATCATCTGGTCTCATCCTTGTACTTTTTAGCAAAGGAAACTGAGGTCAGAAAGAGGAAGAGACTTGCTCAAGGTCACCCCCAGAAAGCTAGTGGCAGAGCCAGAACACAGAACTCACACTCTAGAATTCATTTCATGGGACTCCCCACAGTTTGTGCAATCCAAGAAAATACAGACATCTCGCCTCCCGAGGCTCAGGACCAAGAATACCATTGCCTGATTGGAAATAAGCTCTTCCAGGTTCCCCTCCCCGCTCATGTCCAAGGTCACGTCCATCCAGCCCACATGGACTTCCCATCTCCCCCAGAACAGGCAGGAATGTGCAATGCCCTCTCTTGGGGTCAAAGCCAACTACTTCTCTGACCTCTGATCCTCCTGAAAATCTCCCCAAGGGCCCTTGGTGTTGGAGGCAGGGAAGTGATGGGAGATCAATGCCTATCAGCTCTGTCGGGGACTGCCCTGGCCTCTGTCCACAGGGGGAGTCCTCCATGGACTCCCTCCTATGGGTCCCAAAGCGGGAGCTTTGTCCTGGTCAGATCAAATAGCTAGATGTGGAAGGGAAACCTCTGGCTTTAGCTTAGAGTCCTCCAAGATCAATGTGTGCTTGTACGTGTATGTGTGCGTGTGTGTGCGTGTGTGTGTGTGTGTGTGCGCGCGTGCACATGTGGAGGGGGACAAGAGATGGGGCCTGGGGGTGTAATCACACTTCCAAGTTCCTCATTGCTTTTTCTCCCACTTGTCCCAACTCTCTCTCCCTGGCTTCCTCATCTATGCAAGGATCAAACATGCTTCTGGCCTCTACTTAGTAGATTAGATGCTGCCTGGAGCCAAATGCCTTCTGCCAAGCTCTGATGCTGATTGTGTTCTCTTTGTCCACAGGGCATTTCTCCTGTGAGCCGTCACGAGGCCTTTGCCTTTCTTACAAAAAAAAAAAAAAAAAAAAAAAAAAAGGTCCTTATCTGTATTCCAGTTCAGTCTGTGCATTATCTGGTAACCATAGCAGCTTTGCTCCTAGCAGAAAAATATGAAGTCCTCTGGGCTAATTTTTAATGTTTCCCCTGGTAAAGGATGATGTTATCCATGAAATGGATTGCCGGCTGATCCCTGAAACCCGGCAGGAGCGTGGATCTCGAACATATTTTCAGATAAGGCTTTGTCAGGCATGCTGGTCTAATAGAGCATTTATCACAGAGACAGAGAGAAAGGAAAGAGAACTAACATTCACTGAGTGTTGGGCACCATGTCGGGACCTGGGACTTATCCTGACTCATTCTGTATTTGGGTATTATTGTCCCCGCTTTCCAGATGAAATACTGAGGCTCAGAGTATTTGTGTGACTGTCTCCAGGTTGACTAGCTCAGAAAGGGTGAAGCCCGGGGTCTGGATTCTGTCTTTTGACTCTTAAAATCTAGATTCTTTTCCGTGTCTGGAAATGGCTCAGAGACCTGCTATCTGCAGCTGGAGTTTGGGTTTTGGAGAAACTAAATATTCTGCCCCCCACCCTTTGACCATTGCACTGGCCAGGAGAAGGCCCTTGGAAGACGGGACCCTGGTGTCTGCATGACATCCACAGCCACAAGGCATCAAGAAATCATTTATGTAATACGGTTGGCAGGGTCTTTTGTCCGGCTCTTCCCCTGGTCTGGATGGGCAAGCCTCTCTTTACTCCCCATCTTCCTGCTGCCACAGGGCCTGTCTCTCAAGAAAGCTTGTTAAGAAGATAGGCTGTGGACAATCTCCGGTTTCATGGGCCACTAAAGGAGAAGGCCTCCAATCTTTCCAAACACCTTCTCACAAGATACTCTAGTAAATAGGGCCCCGCCAAAGCTTCCCACATAGCCCAGACTCTCTCAAGCTCTTTTCTGTGGGCCTCACTTTCCCCGTCTGTAACATGGAACTGAGTATATTCATTTGTTTGCTGGACCTGTACTGAGGGTCTCATGTGTCAGCCACACCACCAGTGCCAAGGATGAAGAACCACGTCAGGGATGTTTCTGTCCTGCCAGTGGGCTCAGAGCCCCGTTCATGTGTCCTGGTCTTTTCAAATACAAATCTCATTCACTCTGCATGACAACCATCCCAGAATGGGAGTTGTGATTCCCATTTTCCAGATTAGAAAGATCTAATAACTTGCCAGGGCTTAGCACCACAGTCTTGCTACAGAGACAGATGAGCACTTAGCACTCTACAAATGATGCTCGGATGGATGGGTGGATGGGTGGATGGATGGGCGGGTGGATGACTGATAACCTACAAGTCAGAAGGCTGGATTTGAACCCCAGGTCTGCCTGACGCTAAAACCTGAGCACCTTCCACTGCCCATTGCCTCACAGCATACCATGCCCACCTTCTGACAAGCCACCTCCGCCCTCGTTCTGGCCTTGGAGCGGGAGCGAGCCTCCTGCAACAGAAGCCCCTTCAGGAGGCTCTCTGCCTTGGGCCGAGCCATCCCCTCCTCCAGCATTGTGGGCACAGAAACACAGATATCCCCAGTGTCCCAGGAGGTGCTTTGGGCAGCAAAGCAGCAAATCTGCATCCAGAATCTTTCATTTCATATTGTAATAATGATTATTTGCTGAGCTCTAAACATAAATAATTTATTTGGATAATCCCCAGCCGAGTGACACTTTGCTCATGAAATGTCTTAGTTTAGAGGAGAATGAGTTCGTTATGAGAAAGGCCCCCTTGGCCACTGGGGGCACCCACAGATGACAGAACAGGTAGGTGTCTTGTGCAATCTGTTCAGCAGGCTCACGGGCCTCTGGCAGCCATGCAAGCCTCCTCCCCATCAGAATATCACTGCTGGGTGTGTCCTTCACGAAGCCTGTGTCATTCCTTTATCAGAGCCACAAGCAGCCTGCTGCCTTCGTGGTCACCCAGCACCCTCTACCCAACACCGTGGCAGACTTCTGGAGGCTGGTGTTCGACTACAACTGCTCCTCCGTGGTGATGCTGAATGAGATGGACACTGCCCAGGTAGGAGGGGCCCGGCCACCACACAGGTGCTCGGGTGCATTCAGGCGGCCATGCCCGAGAGTTGGAGGGAGAACGTGAGGGTCAGTATAGTGCTTCCTCCACCTAACCAAGCTGCCTGCGCGTGGGCACTGGCTGGCTGCCAGCACCAGACTAGCCCGTCCTGCTGCCAGCAGAGGCTGGGGGTCTCTTGCCAGACCCTGCCACCCCTGACCCTGCACCCTCTCACTTCCAGCAATGACTCTCCCTGCTTGTGGGCTTTGCCCAGCCCTCCTCCCCAGTCTGGGGCCAGATTCTGTTGCTTCATCCCCCAGGCACTGATGAGGGTCTTGCTCCAAATCCCACTGAGCACACTGAGCCCAGGGGCTCAGAGAGCCTCCCCAGCTCTGAGCATCTCCAACCCTGCAGAAGAACCTGAGGCCTGGCCACACCCCCACCCAGCCTGCCCCCTCGGAGATGCAGCCCACACCAACAGAGCTGGAGCTTGAACCTTGGGCCCTTTGCCCACTAGCCAACCCGAGGATCCTGGCGTCATCAGAGGACCCTTGTGTCCAGGCAGGCTTCATGCCTTAGCCCCCCCAGGGTGTGATAGCTCCGAGCATCATGTGCCTACAGCACATCCCGGTACTCGGGACACGTGTCATGGGAAAGCTGCTGGCGCCTGCGCCCCCTCCATGGCAGGACAGCCATTCCTGGGTGGAAAAAGTGGGAATGTCCTTTTGGGTGTTTGAAAAGTGGTGTCTTGAAAGAAACTCAGGGTACCTCAGTGCACTCCTGTGTGCGTGCTGGCCTTGTGTGGGAATAAAATAAAATGGATCTGAGCTGTGGTCTCAGCCCTGCAGGAGCTCACAGTCTTGCTACAGAGACAGATGAGCAAATTGTCCCAACCTCGTGTGGCAGTGCTGTAATAGAGGTCAGCTGCGAAGTGCTGTGCTGGCTGGGAACAGGGAGCAATTAATTCTGCTCAGAGGGTGAGAGAAGACTTCAAAAAGAAGGTGACTTTGGCCTTGAAGAAGGCAGCAGAAGTTTGGGGGTATGGGGCTGAGGGAGCTGGGAAAAGGCCCTCAGAGCAGAGGGAACAGGAGGGCAAAGGCAAGGTGGTGTGAATGTGTGTGGCTTGTTTGCAGAAGAGCTGGGGTTGCAGTGGGGCTGGGGCTGGGGCCTCTCGGGAGCAGAGGAGGGGGTGAGGCTGGAAAATGCAGCAGGGTGCTGCTTGCACGGGGCTGCCCATGTGCGCTACAGAGTTTGGGCCTTGACCTGCAGCACGGTAGGTGTCAGACGCTTACTTTGTAAGCAGCAGAACCCTTTCTTCGAATAAAGCTCTCATGCAGGCGCCGTATAGGGAACAGGTCTGATCAAGAGCTGCTCATGGTGAAGCCACCTGGGGTGGGGGTTAAGCTCCCTCCAGACTGGTCTTCTGCCCCCCCCCAATGCCTCTTGGAGAGTCAGGACTCTGGGTGGCTTTGTGAACCCCCAGGCTTCCTAGGAGCACTGTGAGACAGCACTCGCAGTCCAAGGAGGAGAGAGACGGCAGCGTGTAAGCCGAGGTGTGGCTGAGTTCCCATTAGAAAGCCGCATCTGGGGACCAGTGAGGAGGAGAAGCTGCAGGGAAACCTGCCAGCCAGGAGACAGCGGAGGAGGATGTTGCAAATGCCCAGAAAAGAGAGGTGGGGGTCTGAACTGAGGAGATGGCTGGCAGGCGGGACGGTGGGGCTGGGAGGTAGGAGCTGGGCTTCCAGATCCAAGTCCACGGTTTTGGGGAGCAGTTGGATGCAGGAGGTGAAGGAGAAGGAGAAGGTGCGGATGGTGGCAGGGGCCCAGGTCTGGGTAGTCAGGCGTCTGGGGGTAGGCGGGAGGAGGCGGGGTGGGGGGAGCTGGAGTGCCCAGTGGGACGCTCGAGGGAGAGATGTGCGGGAGAGATGCGCTTGTTCTTCAGCCATATTTGTGGAGTATCTGTTACCCACCAGGAGCTATTCTAGGTGTTTGGAACGCATTGTGAATAAGAGCAAGCAAAACAGCAGACTCCCATCTCTGCTGCAACTTCTGTTCTAAAGTGGAGGAGACAGTCAATAACAAACACCCTATAATGTACTTTAATTATATGTTAGAAGGTGATGAGTATATGGAAAAAACTATGAGGGCGGGGTAAGGAAGATTGGAAGGCGGGTTTGGGGCCCGGAATACAATTGTGATAGAGGGATCAAGGCAGGCCCTATTGAGGAGGTCACGTAGAAGCTTACTTTCGAAGGAAGTGAGAGAACGAGCCGTGTGACCATCTCCAGGAAGAGCATCACGGGGAGAAAGGACAAACCACACCAACACTTTATGGCGGGTTCGTGCCTGGCACGTTTCAGGAACAGCACAGAGGCCACTGTGACTGGAACACAGTGGAAGTGGGAACAACAGCAGCAGGTGACCCAGAGACATGGCAGGACCAGGTCATGGAGGGCCTTGGGGGTCATAGGAAGAACTTGAGGTTTTACTCTGAGAGAAGAAGGGAGCCACTGACAAGTTTTTGAGGAGAGGAATGACACACTTTGACTTTTTTTTTTTTTAAATCATCCCTCTGCCTACTGTGTTGAGAACAGACTGTTGGTGCAGGAAGTGGGGGAGGGTGTTTGCTAAGGGAGCGAGCAGAGAGGACGGAGAGGAGGAAGCTTCTGCAGTCATCCCAGGTGACAAGTGATGGCTGCTTGAACCCGGGGCTAGCAATGGAGTGGATTCCGGATATATCCCGACCAAATACCTGATAGACTGAATAGGGAGTGTGAGAGAAAAAAGGTGACTCCAAGATTTGGGGCTCAAACGGTAGATGACTGGAATCCGAGATAACCATGAAATTAAATGGATTCCCATAAAACAAAGACCGCTGTGGAGTTCCAGACTCAGAAGGCACAGCCGTCCTGTTCCTTTGCCTAAAAAAGTAAAACCATGAACTCTGCTCCACGAGCCCCTGGGTGAAGTAGAGGCTGTGAAAGCCTCTTTGCCGTTCACCTTTTCCAGAATCCCTTTTTGCAAAACCAGAGCTCAGGCACGGAGGAGGAGTCTCCAAGAACCTCACTTTGAGACATGGAGAGAAGCAGGGGTCAAGGTCATTGGCTCTAGCTCCCCCTTCCAGGGTGGGTCTTGGATAAACAGGTTTCTCAGCCCCAGATGTTGGTACAGCCTTTGAGAATTGATTTCCCTAAATGCAAAAACATCAGGCTCAGAAGTGCTGTGGGGTTGGCTGCCATATGCTGCTGGCAAGCGTCCCCTAAAATCGGCAGATGAATAGAGCACTTATTGATATAAATATCATCACCACAACAGCTGGGTGCCTTGGGAAAATAAACAATGACACCGCATGAGCGTCAGAAAAGCCGCCCTCAGCACCTGGAAGGGCGGTTCTTTGAAGTGGTATCAGCATTTGCCCGCCAGCATGCCCGTGCCAGGACAGCCTCGGGTCTGCACAGATGGGTCTGCCCTAGGGCCTGAGCATCAGCAGAGGACCAGTGCCACATCCTGTGGTTTGACAGGGGACCAAACCTATCCGGGCTCGTATTGAGGGTTGTGGCAGGACGACCTGTAAGTTGCTGCAAAGTAAGGTGGAGGAGAGGCTGAGACCTCCCCGAGTGCCTTATTTTCTTGCACTGCTCAGAATCCTATACTGCATCATTCAGTCAGCCGTCCCTGGTCACAGATACTCTCCCATTCTCCACAGTGGCTTCTGTTCAAAGATAATTCCAAGCAGTGGGGGCTGAAGATAAAGACTCTGAAAGCCACTACAGGTATTCAACCTTAGAGATTTTTGTTGTTGTTGTTAGCTCTTTAGGACTCACTCTAAGGCCTGTGATCAGATTAGTGGGGCAATATCCTAGAACCACAACATCCAGTAAATGGCACTGTGGTTTCCAGTGGGCACCTCTGAAAGAACCTTTCCAGTCACACCCAATAGCACTGACACAAGATCCCTTCCATCCTCGTGGGCTCTATGGATAGCCCAGAGTCCATGGGGAACAGACACCAAAAAGGAGCCTTCTTCATGGTCATGCCACACCCGCCATATTGTTTAGACACCTCAGGAGATCCTCTGTGCCAGCCATGGGGTGGGGCTGTGCAGTAGACAGAATCATGTCCCCTCACCCCCAAAGATGTCCACATCCTTGTCTCTAAACCGGCAAATGTGTTGTCTTACAGAGTAGAAGGGACTTTGCAGATGTGGTAAATTTAAGGATGCTGAGATGTGCACATTGTCCTGGGTTATCCAGGTGGGCCCAATATTAAGGTCCTAGTAAGAGGGATGCAGGAAGATCAGAGTCAGTGGTGTTGGAAGCAGACCATGGGGTGATGGAAGCAGAAAGTGGAGAGATACGGCCACAGGCCAAGGAATGCTGGTCGCCTCTCAAACTGGAGAAGATGAAAAATGGATTGTCCCCTGTAGACTCCAGAAAGGAACACAGACACCTTGGCTGACACTTTGATTTTAAGCCTTTAATGCTCATTTCAGGTTTCTGACCTCCAGATAATAAATTTGTGTTACATTAAGCCACCACATTTGTGGTGATTTGTTGCATCAGCCATAGAAAACTAAGACAGGCAATAAAACTGAAAACAGGAATTCAGACCCAGAGGTACAGGGCATCAGTGTCAGTGCAGGGTGTGAGACTGAAATCCTGGGAACATCCTGAGTCAGCAGTGTTGGACTGGAAAGTGGTTCAAGCTGGAGAAATGCATGTCTGAATCAGAGTCCTTCAGGAACCATGAGAGAGCAAGATGGGGAGAGCCAAGGAGAAGGCAGATGTCCACTTCACCAAACACAGGACTCTTGTGGACCCAGGAGGTCTTTTAAAGTCAAGGTGCCTGCTTTCTGGGTTGCATTCAATCCTTCAGTCATCAACATGCGTCAATTGAGAACCTCCCATGCACAAGGCACAGACCAGACATAGAACAGGACAAAAGAGGCACAAAAAACCCACAGTCCCCACGGTGCAGACATTGTGGTGAAGTCATATCTACCTGCCAGA